ATGCACAGGGTTGCAGTTCTTCGTTTTATCCGTGATTCGTCAAACAGGATCCTTATGTCTCTGAAATCGTTTTAAAGTATTTGTAACAACAAGGCAAAGAATGCATAAATTACAGCCAAAGTCTCCTGAAAGCTGTTTCATTTCTTCTCAAAGTATCCTGGTAACGGGTTTGTAAATCCCCTGTTAGAAGGTTGAGGTTTTCGCAAACAACTGATTACTTTGACCTAGAACCAAAAAGTTGGAATAGGTTGGAAGAGGGAGGGTTCAAGGTGAATGGGTAGAGACATGGCGCCATTCGATGAACTCTCTGACTATTGACCTGAGCAGTGTTGAAAGATATGGACTACCTGGCTGAGGTCTTCGAGACGATAGGAATTAGTGATTGAGGTATTTTGGTGACAATTGAGAATATGAGACAGTGGAGGGGATGTAGTCACTCTTCAACATCTTCTAAAGCTTGAGTATTAGCTAATCTAATTCACTAATCTCACATAACTTCGTATACTTTGACTTCATTCTTTTTTGTCCACTCCTTCTTTTATACTACTGCGAACTGTAGAAACTTGAGGTGATGAACTTGTGTGCGAGGTTCTACGCTGATTTTATCTATCCTTCTGTCTGTTCGTCTACAAAACAGAAAGGGAAGTGAAAATGACCTACTACCAGTCTCTGGTCTTTCCAGCAACCTAAAGTGCTAGTTTCATCACAAGAACTAGTTTATAGATCATAATAGAATGCTTCACTCCAGTGGATAAATACAGCTTCATCGGTATTTTTATAACCCTAAAAGTAGCTGTTACTGTAATGAGTTTTGCTAAGCAAAAGTGACTGACCCGAAAACCGCAGTATACTGGGATGAAAGGCTTATTCCCTTCCACTTGCATCAAAACAGCACCTCAGGTAATCTTTTCTAAAACTTGACCACACTGATGATATTAACCACATGACTGTGAGTCAGACTGATACTGTTGTCTTCAATAGTTCTTTAGTAACTTTAAGTGGTTTGTGACATTCTAAATGGTGTGGTTTAAGGTTTACCAGTTAGGCTGATTGTATACAAGAAGGCGACTAATTCGCATTGCATTTATATCCTAATCTTGAAAATCTTATCATCGCCTAACTTTATTCCTTGAATCTCACTTCTTTTTGTTCCATAGCTTTAAAGAACTGATATGGTTGTTTGTTTCCTTATTTTTCCTCTCATCATGTCGGAATTCTGAAGAAAATTTGAGTGGTAGTAGGTTATCTCAGATCTTGTACTCTTTATATCTTTCTGATCCAGACAGTTATGCCTTGAAATATTTATACGGTTTTTTGTTTGTGGGAATATATTGATGGAGGAAAACAGGTTCGCATTTAGATACAACAAGGAATCATTTTAAAGCTAAATGTTTGAATAACTGGAAAGTCTTATCAATTAGTTCATAATCAGTACTTTTATAGAGATTTAAGGACACTATCTTAAACGAAATGTATCACTCTTTTTCACAATCTACAGAGTTTTTCAGAGGTGTTTACAAATAGTTCGTTGCGTGAGAAACTGTTGTCCACCAACCATCTTCGTTAGTCAGTTCAGGGTTTATCACATAGGCATGCTTATTATTGATGCACCTGTACTTCTCTATGAATATAAAATAAAACAAGGTTGTTACATTCATTGGGAAATACAAATGCCAAATTTTTTCAAACTATCAAGTCCCAACTTGGTTCGAAAATCAGTAAACATAGTTATGATGTTAAATTCAGTTACCTCGCAGGTAACCCTCCTGTTGAATACACTGAACTCCATCCCTTTAATATTATTTTTGACAGATCATAATTCACTGTTAAAGTTAGGAGTCAATCAGTAAGGAACCCATAGTTCAGGCTGTTAGATGAACAAATTTTACGTGAAAGGTCTCAAGCTACAGTAAAAGTGGTAGCATTAATTTGGAGCCCGAAGTAAGGCTTAAAATGGACAAAATGAAATAAGAGACAATAGGAAAATTGTCAAAATAAGATGATATCAATAAAATGAGTCAGGTATTCTGTGTCCCACAGGATTTAGCAGCTTTAAACTAACTGTCTCTATAACTCGTCGATTTGTAGGTTTAAAAGCTGCCATCAACCTCTTACCTAAGATAACTGTTAGATCGTGAATATAAACAGGTGAGCAAAGTAGTTCTGTTCCCCATACAAAGCAGTGAGGAATCGCTGTGAGCCTCACGAAAAGTGATTACTCAAATGACAGAACATAAATGGGAAGCTAAGTCCTAGACTGAAGGCTGAAAAATTTCTGTGTGTGCCTTTGTGTTATAGCTAATCAATCTGCAAACTCCTGTAAAGTTTCCAGTTTGAGTTCGTGATTTTTCTGTCTGTTACGTTTTTAACCAAGCTGCAGAAACCACACTGATAAATTTGATATAGTCTTTGTCTGCTATTTGACGAAGAGTGTAATCACCGTCTGGTTACTGAACTCACCAGTGGTTCTTGAAACAGAGATTGGTTAGGTTTAATGGAATTTACAAACCAATTATGAAAATGGAGCGTCGAATCACGTTTTATCCATCGTTGTTCTCGATTGCAAACTTTGTAAACAGAGTCTCCTTCAATTAGTTTTTGACTTGTTAACGTCACTTTAGTATCAAGTTTTCTATGTAGTTGTGAACCTGTGAATCTGTTAGCTCATTAATAATAATATAATAATAATATATTATTATTATTAATGTTGTCATTGTTGAAACACAAAGATGGGAGAACAAACAATGGTACCACGCAAAACTGTATAACGTTGTTTTGAAGACATAAAGCGACGGAAAAGGGGTAAAAAGAAAAACCCGATAAGAATAGAATGAGTAAAACTGCAGTCGAATAGAATGCATTCAAAACAAATCATTCATTACTTTTCAGCACCAGAAGATAGAAGTAAGCTGAAGCATGACCACCACTGGTTTCCATTCTGAGCCATATCTAATAACGTCTCAAGTCACTGAGTTACGTGATTTTCCGGACCTCACCCAGAAAATCTTGATGCACCAACAGATGCTAACCCGATAGAACTATCCTTCATTCCATTGCCCCACGTCATACACTGAACACCCTTCTGCTTCTTTCATCCAGTTGCGGGGCTAGTAAACAATGAATGGTGTGGAAGCCGTTGCGATGACATGCATAACACGTGTACAAGCCAGAGATCAGGAGTCTAAGCAACTGAGAGCAGCCGAGTAATGCGAAGATAAAGATAAAGTCGAAAATGGTAAAGATGGAAAAATACACTTGCTATGTAAAAACAACAAAAACAGTTTAATAGCAACAAATTGAACAATCGGTTATGGAGTTCATAGTGCGGAGAGCTTGATTATTCGCAAGAAAGTTGGTTAGTTGCTTCGAAATCTCCCTTTTATGCTGTGAATTCATGTTTCTTGTGAGGATTGGGATAGTGTCTAGGCACTCAGACCGAAGTAGGTGGTTGTCTTAGAGGACCACTTCCCCAGTGTTTGACTAATCCACAAGACAGTGGAGGAATAGCAAGAGCTGCATTCCCATGATTGCAGGTGACTAGGATAGATTCATATGCCATTCGTTCTTCCTGGAACCTGAAGCCCATGTGCACCATTGGTTTAGAATCGGGGCTTTCCAACTCTCCCAAATGGGGCCTCAGTATCCACCGATCCGGTGATAAGCACCGGATATTCGCTTTCACCCCTTCACGTTGTGGGAGCATCTCCGCCACGTGAAGGCAGTGAATAAGACTTCACTGGTAGAGAGTGTGAACACATACCAGGGCATTTGGGATGGTTTTTTGGCTTAGTGCATGGAAAACACTAACAACTGATCAACTTACGTATCCTCTACTCTGACAAAGTGAATAAATGTTTGCTAGGTAGTTGGAGGTAATCGGTAGGAGGCTTGTATGTCGGTTTTGTGCTTGTTGGCACTTGTCAGCAGGCGTATCTGGAGCCTCGAAGAAACGTGTGTTCCCTGAGAGACTGGAACCCGTCACCCAATGCTATAGTCATAGACTTCATCACTAAGCCATTTGAGTCCCAACTGACCTCCTGTAAGACTGAATTAAGTACTCTGACTGGTCAGTGGAGAGTAACCAATTTAATGTTGTGTAGTCCTGAGTGCTGACTGAATTCTATCGATCATTCTGGAATGCTATCACCAGGCCATAAAACAGCACCAATGTTGGACCTGACACTGCTGCTCATTGCTTCAGTTTCCTATTTTTATGAACAGCACAGTTAGAGAGTTACTTTACTACAGGAAATGCTGTTGAGTGAGTACATCACTTCCAAATAATATTGACTTTTTGTTGAGAAAGTTGCGATGATATAAAACACGCTTCTATACATTATAAACTTATCGGAGAAATCCAAAATAATCTCCCATACTGTTGCAGCGTATTCATATCAACGGTCTGGTATGAAAATGTCTTCAGCAAAGATCTCGACGACAAGGTGGAAATAAGAAGACCATTTATATTGCTCTGTAGTATAACTCGTGTTGTTATGCTGATATTCCTGACATCTTAACAGACGTCAAGGGGATTTTTCTTCGTGAATCAAGTGTTTTAATTTTTGTAGTCCTCACAACTGAATTGCGCTTAGTCTTGTCATTTTCACCTTCAGCTGTGAATCTTACAAGCACTTTGATGACAAGTGACATGGACTTACTGGGTTCTAAAAGAATGAAACAACCACTTGGTGTTTTTATAATCTCTATTTGACTTGCGAACTCAATTAGTTTTCGAATAACTCTCGAATTCGCATATCAGCCAGTAGTAAGTAAGTAATGTGTCATGTTGCTTTGGTGAGAAGCTAAGACATGTTTCCCATTCAGTTTTCCAGCGTATTTGAACAAGCTTTTTCCACTGAGTGGTCTAAACACATTTTAAGGTAAACGGTTTTGATGATAGAATCTTGTTATCCAGTTGAACTCGCTGTATTAGGTGAGTGAATGTTTTTTCCAGATTTCTATTACCTGTTGTCTATTCTCGCACAAAATTGTTTCTCCAGATCGAAGTGATGCTCACCTTCCTGTGACTGGTTGTGTTACATCACCTGCATTCATTTACTCTGTGATTAATAAAGTGTAAGGCTTTGTGGTTAGTTAACATATATTTCCACCACTCAGTTTGATAAAAATAATTATTTTCGAATTACTCCAGTGTAAAATCCTGTGCGCAAAGGAATTTATATACCCTTCGTCTCTAATATCTTTTTGGGTGAGTCCCAAGTGAGTTATGATCAGATCCACATTCTGACAATGTGTGTCATTCATGTTTCTAAAGATACTCTTTTTAGCCATCTTATTTTTTGGTTGTGAGACACGGTGTGCAATTTACACTGACTGTTAGTTTACTGACACCCCTTTATCTATTACCAATGTTGTTTTATGTTCTGTATTTGTTCTTGTTACAGACAGATATATACAGTATGGAAGCCTCTTATGAGACCTGATCTCCCATGTGATATGCGAATAGACCATATGGCCCTTGGATTGTGGGCTCGATTGCGTCACTTGTGGCAGCAAAAGCACAAGCTCTCGAAAAAGAATAAGGAGAGCAAACATTACATCCCGTTGCCAGTGAACAGTAGTTTAATTTCTTTCTATCCACATGTTAACATGCTGGTCAGTCGAATTTAAATGTGAATCTGCACACAAAGTGTACAATGTATAGTAACTTATTTTCAAATATTTCCTCCTCGAGGGTTCTAAAATACCTTATCAGTAATAAAAATGTGAGGTGGCTCTTGTGTCTGCCTTGTGTTAGTTTTGCGGTTGAATTTTGTATCCTAGTGGTCATGGCTTCATTTGCCATACAATGTATGTCATACTAAACCCCTAAGATTAGAATACACGTCACCCAGTCGTAAGCAACGTATTTATCCCAGTTATCACACTCCAAAGAAGTATGAAGAGTGCAAACCAATATTTGAAATTGTTTTCGAATACATAAATTATTCTCGACAAACAAACTAGCGAAATAAGTTAAAGAAATACTGAAGACCTACAGAACTATAGGATGCCTAACATTTAGTAGAAGATGAGAAGTGAATATAAAGCGTGATGTAACAGCCTAGTAGTGTTATTGTGAGTGAAAGCAGCGTATCACGGCTTGGGACGAGGAGAGGGAAGGGGACTTGTCAGAAAATGGTTGAATGACTGGAAGCGGAGTTCGATAGCCCAGTGGATAAGAAGCTGGCGATGCAGCAGTTCTGGAGCACGAAACTTGGAATCGATGAAGATCCACTGGTATTGGCTGTGAAGTTGACTAAACTACTTTGACGAGCACTTCCTACGTTGGACGAGGAGTTGCAGGAGCAGTGGCAGGCTGCACAGTTCACCGAAAGTGTCCCAAATGCCATCACCCAGCTGCTACGACTAGTCAACGCGGCCCAACCCATGGATATTAGTGAGATGGCCAAGGTGACCAGACAACTGATGGGTGCAGCAGTAGCTGCAGTGGAGTCACCAGAAGTAAATAACTGGAAAAAACAAATCGACAACCTTCAGGAAGAGATGGCCGCACTTCAGATGAACATCAACAGACAGGGTAAATGCTTTGCATGCGGAAAACCTGGACACTGACGAAGAAATTATCCGGAGAGGCGAAAAAGAAAACGTTTTGAACGATATAATAAGAGTTCTGTTTTTTCAACTAGACTGGATATTGTAGGAGCCGTAGATTGAGGTGCTGTGTATGCTAGAATGCGAACAAGTGATCGGGAGATCATGTGTCTGAAAGATACGGGGGCGGCAGTCTCGCTAACAGATAAGAGTCAGTCTCAGAACATAATACTATGTGCGTTAACGGTCCACACAGTTGAGGGATATGGATTAGAAATCGCAGGCTTATCAGATTGCGTCGTCGAGATCGGAAGTCGGAAAATTAGATTTCAGTTCATTGTGACCACGCGTCTAAAACGCTCAATCTTAGATGCTGGTTTTGTGAGAGAAGTGGGCTCAGTTATTAACATGAGAACAGGAATAGTGGCGACGAAGTACGGGTCGTTCCCCACGCACAAAAACAGCGAAGTAGCTTAGATTAAGGTATCAAGAGCACCACATCCAGAAGCGCCAAACATCATGAAGTTGGTTAAGAAATACGACAGATTGTTCACGGGAGATGGAGACCCCTACGGATACTGTGACAAGGTTCAGCATGAAATCCCAGTGACAAGTCAAGCAATGACAACATTTATAACACGGCAAATACCATGTCACTTGGGAGAAGTTGGGTGTTAGCTTCAGGAAATGATAAACGAAGGTATTATTGAAGAGGCTAATAGCCCATACACTTCCCCAGTACTTTTGGTAAGAAAGTCAAATGGGAAGTATAGTTCTGCGTTGATTTTGGAGAGTTGAATAGCATAGCGCAACTGAAGCCGTGTGTCATGCCTACGGTAGCTGAAACACTGGATCGTTTGCAGAATGCAAACGTATTTACGGTTCTGGACCTCCGCTCAGGCTACTGGCAGATATCCATAAAAGAAGGCGATAAAGAGAAAACACCATTTATTGTGGGGAAGAAGCGATACCGATTCAAGCGAATGCCATTTGGTCTGGCAGGTGCGCCATTTGCATTCAGACGGTTGATGATGTCTTCGTTGAAGAATTTAGAAAACGTAGAGGTGTACGGTGACGACCTGGTGGTGTACAGTCGGACGGAAACAGAGCATCTAGAATACCTGGAAGCTGTTTTAAGACGCATTTATAAGTTTGGACTTCTCATCAATAAGACAAAATCTTAGGTAGCCAAGAAGAGTGTTATATTGCTAGGACATAAAGTTTGAAACGGTGAAACAGAACGATTACTTGACAAAATTCTGACGGTCGAAACCATTCCAGTGCCGAATTCCAAGAGGAAACTGCAACAGTTCTTGGGTAGAGCAACATTCTACAGTCGGTTCCTCAAAAAGTTCAATGAGATAGCAGCACCTTTATATAAGCTACTTGGCAACCCAAAATTTTTGTGGACGGAGGAGGCATAGAAAACGTTTTTTCACATCAAGGAACACCTGAATGACCACGAAATGCCTCTAAAACTACCAATACGTGGGAGGCCATTCATCGTATCCACCGATGCAAGTGATTATGGAATAGGTGCAGTTCTGAGACAGACTGAAGGAGTAGTGGAGTATGCCAGCCGTGTCCTGACACCTGCAGAACAGAAATATTCCACAGTTGAAAAGGAATGTCTGGTGAAAGTTTGGACACTTGAGGAATGGAGATCGTACCTCTCGGTCAACGATTCCATACTGAAACTGACCACAAACCTCTACAGTGGCTTAAGACAGCGAGAGACCCCAGAGGAAAATTATCACATTGGATTTTACGACTGCAGGAGTACGATCTCACAATCGGCCATGTGGCAGGAAAAGAAAACTGGTTCGCAGACTTCCTATCAAGATCAGACAAAGAAAATGAACTACCGGAGATCGCATACGGTGTACATGCAGTGAAACGGGACCCATTAAGACTTATTCACCTTCAGAAGTCGGATTCTACGCTGAATGCAGTGATAAAATCCATAACTGAAGGAACGGAGACACAAACGTCTGTGGGAAATAGGGTTGAGAAAGTTACTGACGCAGAAAGAACGCCGACGGATGAATACTTATGGGATGCTACCTTAGTGAGAAAACGATGGGAGCTGGTTGGCAGTGATTCCGAAATGTCTATGCGACAAAATGATACAAGAATGCTACCAGTTAGCTCATACAGGTGTCTCACGGACAGCTGACCTTCTCAGACAAAGTGCGTACTGGCCAGGTATGAGAGATGTTGCCAAACACTTGTTGGGTTGTCTTCATTGTCAGCTGATGAAAGGTGATAGGTATGTACGAGCACCGCTTCAGTCGATTCCAGTGGAGGCAGTTAGTGACCTGTGGTCTGTAGACGTAATGGGACCATTTTCGCAAACATCTAGTGGCAGCCAATACCTGCTGGTGATGACGGAGCATGCTACATGATGGGTAGACGCTGTCGGGATTCCGGATCAACGCCCGAAGACACTGACCGCAGCGGTGATGCGGCATATTATAGCGGATCACTATGTGCCGAAAATGATATTGATCAACCAAGGTCCTTGTTTTGAGAGTGAAGAATTCAAATCCTGTTTGGAGCAGCCTGATATCAAGAGGATAAGAACGAAGCCACACCAACCACCGGCTGACGGTTTGACGGAACGCAATAACTGTACACTTAAGGAGTGGTTGGCTTCGAAAGAAGGGAATTGGGAGACGGAACTGGCGTTAATGTTATTAGCTCATCGTGCCTCGGTACAACGAACAACCAAGAAGTCGTCGCTCCAGTTAATGTATGGCAGGAAACCACAGCTCCCAATACATAGTAAGACCTGGCCCCAATAACAGCCATGGAACATGACTAGATTGAGAAATGGGAGGAAACAGGAAATCAGAAATGTGGAATGGAAACAGAAAGCTGATGCTGAAAAATCTGAGAAGAGAGAAGGAAGTAAATGGAGACCGTCTGAGGTCGGAGATCAGGTGAAATGTAAAGAACAACGATATAAGCCGGGGGTTCAATATGGTAGAAGGAAACTACTCCCGAAGTGGGAAGGACCATACTTCATTACCGAGAGACGCGGTTCAGTTTATGCCATCAAAAACGGGGAGAAAGAGAAAAGAGTAAACGCCATCCCACTTCAAAAATGGAAGCAGTAGGAAAAAAACGAAACTTTGCTTGAACACGGAGAGGAAACAGCACCAAGACGATCAACACGGTTGCAAGCCCGAAATTTTGACGGGTGGACGAGTGTAGTGGGCATTGCTGATAAGAATGGATATAAGTAGTATATATTGAGAGGGTGGCAGAAATCATAGCGAATTACCAGCAATGGGTAAAGATTCCGCCAAGGGAAATGCAAGGGACAAAACAGGCGTATGAAGAGTGAATGAAGAAAGAAGTAGAAGAGGAAATGAAGCATATTTTGCAAATGGCGGTTCTAGTGCAAGGTGTACCAAATTTAATGACTACCGCACCACCAATTAACACTACTCGTTCGGTCCTTCAAACCTGGCTTCGGGTCCTTATATGTTGCATTAATGATAAGCTAGGATTCCCACGACCTGTTGTCTATCATCGTCCAAAATTGTTTCCCTAGATCGAAGTGATGCTTACCTTCCTCTGACTGGTTGTATTACATCACCTGAATTCAGTTACTCTGTGATTAATGTAGTGTAAGGCTTTGTGGTTATTATATTATTATTTGTTATTTGTCCCTTGGGTTCCTAATGGAACATAGGGCTTCAGTAGCACGTCTCCAGTGAAATCTGTTCTCTGAAACCTTTCCAACCTGGCTCCACGACAGCCCACAAGCTCTCATTTCCTCCTCGCACCATCTCCCCCATATCACCCTCGGCACCGACACCCAACTCGTCACTTCCCATTGGGGTTCCACTCGAGTGACTGTCCTGGCTCATGATGTCTCCAGTCGGCCTTCTCAGTGTATGCCCAATCCAATCCATCTCCACTTCCTTCCAGTGCATATTTGTTCAGCGATAGGTTCTTCGTTGGTTCACTACCAGCCAGTCAGAGTTCCTTGTTGCTTATTATTTCTGGCCATCTCAACTGATCTTCAGTATCGAGTCAGCGTAGGCGGCAGTTGTTGATGAATGTCT